CCCAGGAGGCCGGAGACACTTGTCAGGTTAATTCACAGTGTTTAGAATTCATCACAGGATAATTGTCTTATTGATTTGCTGCTGGCACATTTACGGGTTTCCCTTTCAGATCAGAAGAGATTCAGCGAGGCTAAAGCAACTTAGGGAACGTCAGCTCCCTGGTGTCTGTGCCCCTAAGTCCCCTGTGAGGAACCACCTCCCGTGCTTCCTGGCCCTGTGGTTTGGGGCTGCTGGCTGCACCCCAGAACCAGGATGCACCATATGCCTCAGGCCCCGGTTAACGGGTGACTCCCATCCTCCGAGACTGGTTCAGGGGCGGGCATGTGGGCTGGTCTGGGTCTCAGCCCCGAGGCCCAGGTTCTCTGTCTGACTGTGGGGGAAACAGACACACCTTCCCAGGGACCTGAACCTCCTGTTGTGGCTCTTCTGTCACCAGAAGGCAGAGTGCCTCTCAGCACGAAGCCAATAGAGGACACAGAGCTGAAAAACGAGGAGTAACAGGGTCCTGGTGATGTTGCCTGATCCCCTGGCCCAAGCCATTCTAGACTCACCCCGGACTTATGGTCACTTGTGTCAATAAACACGCTTTCTGCTTTAGCCAAATTGTGCTGGGTTGGGTTGCATTCGGCAGAACCCTGCTTATGGGGTCAGGAAGGCCCAGAAGGCAGCGAGTGTGTGGGTGTAATCCCTGCCCGAGACCCCTGTTCCTCCTGGGGACCAGCCCTAGACATGCCAGGGAGGCCCGCCCTGGGAGACGACCACGGCCACCCCACTTCACACGCGAGGAGGACGAGGCGTGGCAGGGCTGAGCGACCCACAGGTCCCCGTGGGGAGGGGCTGAGGCAGGACTGACACAGGTCAGGCGGCCAATTTCCAGGATTCTCTCTGCCCCGCCGCAAGCTCCTCTCACCCCAGGGGTGAAGCAGCCCCTGGGAGAACCCCCCCCCTTTACAAATGCGGGCAGCGAGCTGAGAACGGGGGCTGGTCCTCCCACAGGGACGGGTGAGGACCTGAGCCCTGTGCTCCCGGTGATGCAGAGAGGACACCAAGTGAGACCAGGGCTGCGCCCTGCCCTCCTGCTGCCCCGAGCCATCTCCACGGGAGGGGGCGCAGCCGCCAGCCCAGGGCCCAGCTTACTTGAAGGCGCTGGGGTCTCCGTGTATCTTGTAGTTGTCGGCGCTGATCTGTGAAATGACCCTGGTCACGGCGATGAGGATGCCGATGTTGACCTGCACGAGGAGGAGGGGCACGGGAGACGGGGTGAGGGGCTGGTACACAGCTGCAGCACACCCCAGCCCACCTGGCAGCACCCACTCCCCAGCCAGGCCCCCCGAGCCCACAGACGGGTCCCTGGGAGGAACCTAAGCCATGTCCTTGAACGCTTACCAACACAGACCACCTACAAGGGCTCGAGGCTGTGCCACCAAGAACAGACAGCAAGACACCCCGTTCTAGTCCCCAGGAGCACATGGAAGGACGCTCCCCTCGGCTCAGCACCAAGGCGAGCGTGAGCCTCAGAATCAGCCAGGCCTGGGCCCAGTCCATGTCAGCACATGCTCACTGGTGTGGCCCTGGGCAACTTACCCAAGTCCTCTGAACCTGTTTCCCCACCTGATGAGAAAGAGTGGTGATGCCCACGGTGCAATCGGAGCGTTAGACGGATGAGAAGCCACGTCTGCAAAGCCCGGAGGACAGCCTGGCTCTCACTTCCCGCCCCCACCCCCGGCCTGCGCTGTAGGACCCACGAGTCCAAGCAGAGGGCTGTCGTCTCTTTCCCAAGGCTCCCTCCCTGCTAGGAACCTGCTGGGAGGCTCCCCTTGGGGGCGGGGGGCTGGGGGCTGAGTGTGTCTCTGGCAGAGGCTCCAGCAGAACCTGCCCCTCCCGCGGGCAGCTCTCCAGGGTCCTGAACAGGAGCCTGACAGGCAGGTGACAGCAGGGGAAGTGAGGGCCGCCCACCCCGAGCTCCTTCTGCTCCAGGGGCCACAGCCGGATTCAGGGTTGGTGCTGGGACCAGCGACCTCTCCCTTGTTTTTGAAAAACTCTGAGGTCATTTACAGAGTTGGTGGGGAGTCCAGTTCCAGGCCACGTGTGAACGTCTGGGGCCGACCACAGACAACGACCGGGCAACGACAGGCCCGGCAGGCCTCACAGGGAAAGCGGCTGGAGCCCGGGGCACAGCAGAGCATCCTAGGCTGTGAAGGGAGCGACAGGTGGGGACCCAGGCCCCTCCCAGGCTGGCCACGCCACACACACACCTGCCTCCCTGGCCTGAACACCTGCCTTGGAGGCCTCCCCGGGCGCCCAGCCTGATGCTTTTCCCAAGCACCTCTGCTCTCACCCCTTATCTTAGGGACCCTGCAGACACCTCTCCCCACTCTGCCTCCGTACCCAGCACCATCCCACGCCCAGCCCACCTCCTCCGCCCCCTCCCGGCTCCTGGGTCCGCGAGTCAGCAGCGGCCTCTCCTTCAGGGCCTGCGCAGCAGTGAGACACCCCCATGCCTGCTGCTATGTGGGATGGAGCCCCAGGGAGCCAGCATCTCTGCCCACTCGGTCCCTGGCTTACACTATCGCAGCAAGCGAGTAAAGGCTTAACCGTCAGCTGTTACAGTGAAAGGAGAACAAATGCTCTTAGCTGGGCCCTGGTCTGAACTAACCACCTTCCACCTGGCAGCCCAGCTCCTGGCAGTCAGGCCACCTCCTCGGCCCTCGCTGTGTAAAACGAGGGCCATGGTGGGATTCTCCTGCGGTCAGGGAAGATGGGGAGGTTAGCAGACAGGAACATCCAGCAACCCCTGCGCCTCCCACCCCCCCGTGCTGGCTGACTGTGTTACAGCCACGAGAAAGCCATGCTCAGCCAGATGAGAATGAGGTGGGTCCACCCGGATGCTGGGTTTCCGGTGTGAAAACGCGGGGACGCTCCATTCAAGGGGAACGGTGATAAATGCGAGGGAACTAACAAGTGGCTGCTTCAAGGACGGGGGTGTCAATTCCAGACACCGAGGTCCAGTGGCGTCTGAGAAGAGCTTTTGCTCTGGGGCAGGTGGGCACCGCACACCCTCACCTCCAGTGTCAACAGCTGCGTCACGAGGCGGGGACGTGGGCTGGGGAGGCCCCAGCCCAAAGCCACAGACCCTGCTGCTCTCACCAAGAGCCAGCAATTTTTTGTGAATAAATGCTTTTCAGTTTCAGTGCCAGTGGGTGAGTTCTGGAGCTCTGAGAGGTCTGGGTTTCTTACACGTGTAACTCTTCCAGCAGTTTCCTTGCTTTCTCGGGGAGAACACGTCCCTAGGTCCTCCACCCGCCACCTGCAAGACCTGCCTCTTTCTTTTTCTTTTTCCACTTTTCAGTTTTATTAGGCAGATTGTTACAATTTGACTCCACGTATACAGTGTATCACATGTAAATACAGATACACAATATGCTGCACATTTTTTAAGTTTATGTGTATCTACTGATCAGTGTTTCTAAGACAGTTCAGAGCTTTAGCTTTTTAAACTTACACGGTTATCGAAGGAATAAAGCCAACCACGAGACAAGAATCAACGGAACGTGGTGATCCAGTCATGACGGACAGTCAGATGTGCTCACACGTGCTCAAGGCGTCAGCCATCTAAGTCATAAATAAACAGCAGCTCTGGGAACGATGCCCTGGATTCCTCGCTCACTGGCCAAGGCTGAAGCCTCACTTGTAACAAGAAAAGACTGGAAACAACTTGACTTGTTTTCCACAGGGAGCGGTTTGGGGGCCACTGTGATCGGCCTGCGCTGCAGACGTCCTATGGACGAAGACAGCTCCTCCAGTGCTGATAAAGCCACAGGGCTGACATCTGCCGTGTGGAGGAGGCCCAGCACGAGGCGAATCTACGCTCATACTCGCCCGCGTCTGCACGGGGCCCCCAGGACACACAAGCAGCACCAGGGGTTGCCCGTTGGGGGGAGGGCAGGTGGAAACCAGGAAGTCGAGGAGAGGCCTGGGGACAGACTATCCGTGTACGTTGTTAAGTGCTGCTTTCAAATTTTTAACCATGTGTGTTAAAATTCAAAAATCAAACTAATTAAATTATAAAAGGGAAATAATATAAATCCCTTTTTCTGTGAATGTCTTAGTAGCATCCTTGGGCTCAGGAGGAAAAGAGACTGAATTGTGCAGTGTCCCAGTAATTCAGGGAAAGGGGTGACAAACCAGAGCCCAGAACCCGGGAGACAGGCACCAGGCAGCCTCCGGGGGGGCCTGAACCCCTCCCGTGACCCCGCTGGTCTCAAGTCCAAACCCCCGCGTGACCCCGCTGGGCTCACGTCCAACCCCCCGCGTGACCCCGCTGGTCTCACGTCAACCCCCCGCGTGACCCCGCTGGTCTCACGTCCAACCCCCCGCGTGACCCCGCTGGTCTCACGTCCAACCCCCCGCGTGACCCCGCTGGTCTCACGTCCAACCCCCGCGTGACCCCGCTGGGCTCACGTCCAACCCCTCCCGTGACCCCGCTGGTCTCACGTCCAACCCCCGCGTGACCCCGCTGGTCTGACGTCCAACCCCCCGCGTGACCCCGCTGGTCTCACGTCCAACCCCCCGCGTGACCCCGCTGGTCTCACGTCCAACCCCCGCGTGACCCCGCTGGGCTCACGTCCAACCCCTCCCGTGACCCCGCTGGTCTCACGTCCAACCCCTCCCGTGACCCCGCTGGTCTGACGTCCAAACCCCCGCGTGACCCCGCTGGTCTCAGTGTCCAACCCCCCGCGTGACCCCGCTGGGCTCACGTCCAAACCCCCGTGTGACCCCGCTGGTCTCACGTCCAACCCCCCGCGTGACCCCGCTGGTCCGACGTCCAACTT